TCACACCGGAATGACTAGAGGTACGTCAACTAGCAAACCGGATTCAGCGTGGACGGCAGATCAGGTCGCTTCGTATATGTTCGAAAAAATCAAACAGAAACAGTTTTACATTCTTTGTCCGGATAATGCTGTCACCAATCAGATGGACCACAAACGCATGATCTGGAATCTGCACGATATTACTGATGGTCGTCCAGCTCTCTCCAGATGGCGAGAAGAAACTGCTGCTGATTTTGAACAGTACATGAAAGAGTAACTCTGTTACTTTCTAAAATATTTTACCTTGATGCTAGATTTTCAAGATAGTTTTTATCTCGTTACGATTGACAGTCTTCACCTTTTGGAGAAACAAGATCGTATACTGGTTCAGTTAGTCAACGAAACAGTGAAATGCCGTCACATTGCATTAATCTGTTTGAAAAAGCGTGAAACAAAGGATCCTGGCGAATTTCATAGTAATATTTGAACCGAAAATCGAAAAATGAAATATTTTAGAGCCGTTCAAGACACATTGAATAATTTATAAGAAGTTACGTTTTCGTCAATTCTTTTAGTGGAAGGAATCTGCCGAAAACATTTTCCGAAATATAGTTTCGTAGCGTTTTTATGTCTTTAATTTGTGATATTAAGCGAGGAACTATCAGGACTTATTATTTCTATGGGATTTATTAATTATGATGAAATTTCAGCACACTCACATCCACACTAACACCCGCACACATACCCTCACCCAAGGGATATAGTTACTAAGAAACCGTATGAGATTGATCTCAAAATGCTTCGGTACTTATTGATAAATCCCAATAAATCCCGAAAAAATAAGTCTTGGCAGCTGCTGTCCGAATGAATTCGTTTCTAATTAATGAAATAAAACAATTTTGTCTTGCTAATCTACTCTTTTCTATCCGTTTCCATAGAATTTTCGAAATTTTATCAGTGATCGAGTGTCAATTTACAAGAGCTGTACAAAACTGATCTTGAATGACTAGTTCGTATATCAGTCTGATCAGCTTAAATGGGCTACATCTAATTTCTTCGAAAGGGAACTGTAATTAGTGCGTGGGATGACATGGTAGAATAAAGTATTGAATGAACTGCGAACACATTCATGAGTTAGCTTGAAATTTAGCAGTGTACTCAGTGTTTGCCTTCGGATGCAAGTAGCACGGTCTCATAATCACAACTCATTGTACAAAGTTCGATAAGCAAAGCTGACCAAACAAAACTTTGACATGATCATAAGATTTATAAACTTAGAGGCAATCCTATCAGCAACTAGATAGTGTTAACCGATAGTTTCACACAATCTGAACACTAGTTAGAGAGATTTCGTGTACAAACTAATTTTTATTCAGTTAAAATCGAAAAAGAAAGGTTTCGCTTGATTCAAATGATTCAACTTGTACGATGCTTGAGAGGGTTTTATAGAAATATTTTCTTCGGACATTCACAAACTCCTCCCAATAAACTCTCTTCTCCGATACCATAAGGACAGGAAACAGAATTTTCAGTAGTTTGACTTCTTTTTAGCATTATTTCGCATGCATATTTTCTCGTTTTTTTGGTTGGTACGTCAAGGGATTTTCGGCCATTTTACATGTTAGTAAGTTTTGGACAGCTTTAACATGAATTGAAAACTCAATTCTGCAGCTTAACACGTGGATGAATTTTATTTTCAGGCTAATCAGTAAAGAAGAAAATCTTTTCCCAAAATATAGGCCTAATTTGCCAAAATTTTGGAAAAAGTTTTACTAAGAGAAGTAAAAAATTTCAAGAACTCCTCTTTCTTAAGCTCCAGACGTTTCGATATTGAATCTGAAAATGTATTAGCGGAATTATACAAGAGACTGTTACCCCTGGGACATGTAGATTTTGATTCTTACAGTTATGATAACTCTTTCTTAGCTTAGCATTTTGTGCTGCAACTTTTACTGTGATCCGCCTAACGTTAATCATATACTGCCTGAAAATTTCATCAAAATGCACTTTTCCGAAAAAGATGGCATGTTCTACTGGGGATCTTATATCTGAAACAGATCCATTTTGTTATTTTTCTTCGTACATTTACTTCGAATATGATTTTTTAGCCGTGAAAAAATTAGAAGTACGTATAAGAAAAATAATTCCGTGGCTTGCACTGCTTTAACGCATGTTTTTCAAAGCAAAGAAAAGCATGACAACTATATCGTGCTCTGTATTTGTCTCTAATAGAATAGCATGTTACTTATGCACGTACCATATCGTATGTGATTTACTATTTGGTGAATGAAGACAATGGAATATTTGATCCATATTACCTGTATTCATTACGAGAATTTTTTGGATATTGCTATTCTAACTAAATTTAATTTCATCAAAAACAGTTGATGATCCTGAAAAACATCTGGGTGTATCTTAGATGTGGAGATCTATTTCATTCTTTAGAAGCGTCACCGCTTACATTTTGTGAGCCGAAAGATTATTCATACACTTCTTGTAAATTTTTCTTTTCTTTTCTAATAAAAAAAAATTCAATAACTCCTATACGTAGGATCTTGTAGCAGATTACTTTGAACTTTCCAATTCTATGAATCTTCGTTTCACTGAACATCTAACAAAAGCATCCGGAATTTTCATAGCGAAAAATGACTCACCAACTTTGGCAAAAAGGTGCATTCGAAATCCAAAAACTGATTCAACCACATTTAGTATTTCATCAAATAACCATTCATTTGAATACATTCTTAAAATTGATTAGGAACTTAATCGACAAGTTTTTGAAGTGTACACAACACAATGCCGTTCTATTCTTGTACTAACAGAAATTCTAGTTCTTGTTAATATTTTGGTTCATATTTTTGCATTCGAGTTTTGGCTTCATTCCATAAAGAATTTATGGAATTGAGACACGATGGATAACAGAATTAAAACAATGTTTTAATTCTTTTTCTTTCTTTCATTAAATCTTTGATTAATCTTGAGCTTTGTTTAGAAACACTATCATGCATAAAATAAATTGCTGACTCAGTTTAAATTCTTTTATTGGTGTCAATAGATTTCATTCTAAAATATCTTCACAGTAGTTCCTCCCTATGGTACCATGCAAATCACGAAGCTTTCCAACACCTGCATGAGTGAAACTGTCCCAGATCATGACTGAACGCCACTGTTCTTAACAGTCGAAACTGTACATGTCGGATCAAATTTTTCATGTAACACTTTTCGTATGACAAATTTACCGTAGAACTCGAAAATATACAACTTTGATTAGTCAAACTAGATAATTTATTTCCAAAATTTCGCTAATATCTTGAGCATTTCTTTGTTGTACAAAAGCCTCTTTCTTCAATTATTCTTCCTTATGTACGGTTTCTTACAAGCTACTACACAATAGGCAACCACTTGGACATAAGACCAGTGTAACTATTTTTTGAGTTTCGACGAGTCTCCAAGCGTTTAAGATTAATATAATTTGACGTGTCTGGGTGCGTCCAAAATGCAACATTTTTGGGCGTTCAAACGCGTTCAGTTCTATCCAAAAAATTAAAAACTATCATCGCCGTATGTTGGAATCGAACCAACATACTATGGCGAACTATGATATAACATTCAAATAGCGTGAATAGCAGAAAGGCATTTTTTTTGTGACAGTTTGAACTAAGATTCGGATCTATGATCAGTCGATTACAAACCAAACATAATATCCACTGAGTCATACACCGGTCGATAATGATGTTATGTTCATGAATCACATGGCCTCACAATAGACCTATAACTAATTTTTTTAAAACTAAGAAAAAAAAAATGAAATTCTTACTACTCAAAAAAGAAATAAATTTTATAGAAAAATGAACTCTTTGTGCGATAGGTGAATAGACAATTAGATGTTATAGAAATATTAATTATGTTTTTTCTCCTGAGTAGTAATACGAGAATATGTGATCTGGTTCTAAAATAAAGATTTTGTATGAAACATTATAAAAGAAAACTCTTGTCTCGCTACGTTTTTTAGCTATAACATTTTAGATTCTTAAAACATTCGTAGCAAGTAAAATCAAAGGCTTAGGTTTAAAAAACCTTTTCTTCTTTTTGCTTTATTTCAAAAAAATACTAATGAACTTTTTCGTAGGCAGAAATGAGAAAGACTTTTTTGTTTATTTATATTTATTTCAGAAATAAAAGTTTTTATTTACACTCATTCATTTATTATTTGCAATAAAGACAACGGGAACAAACTAGCATCCTTCTTATCAAAAGAATCGGCTTTTACATTATGAATACCTCTGTTGGTTTACTGTATAGGCTGATTTGCATCAATAGAAACATTCCTATATCTAGAGCCAACTGATTTAAAAAAAAACGTTTTTTGCTTCCAATTTCTAGCGTTCATAGCTATTTAATGCGATAATATAGGATGCTGGGCCATTCTTCAAATTTGAATAGCATCTCTATGACGATAAATCTTGCTAGGCTCGTGTTTACATGTTTATCCTATATATAATTTGCCTTGCTGATTGATAATGCGTAGCTATAACAGCTGATATTGTGGTTAAGCACCCGTCTGATTTCTGACAACTTACGCATTCAAATGCATTGTGACAATTTTATTGGGCCAATATAAGTACTCAGTATTGTGCCAATATTGATGACACGGTTCGATGATTCTTCTTCCTTCTCTGTCTGTTCTCTTGCCGTTGTTCTAATATATATATCTCCTGTCTCTCTTCTATCTCTCTCCTATATATATGTGTGTTATGTATGAAGTTGTTACACTCTGGATATGTGAAGAAGCGAATAAACATCATTGCCGAGAGTGGCGGTAAGCTACTCCACCTCTATCCAGTTTGTCATTACGTATCAATCCAGTCATGGCCATGTATTGATCGTTACAAGTATGATATATTTTATTGTTTTCATCGATTGAAGACGCTTNGCAACATGTAGCGGCAACAGTCGCAGTGTTTACAGACCGTGATGAATCTATTGATTTTCTCACTGATACTGAAAACGAAAAAGTATCTATGATTGTATCTGGTACCCTAGGACAACATATAATACCGGTAATTCAGGAATGTCCACAGTTAGTCTCAATTTATATTTTCTGTGATAACCAATTGATTCATGAACGATGGGCCAAAACAATTTCTAAAGTAAAAGGCGTATACACAGAAATTGACTCGATTTGTGAAGCATTACGAATCGATCGTGAAAATTGTGATAGAGCTTTGATATCAACCAGTTTTAATGGTTTGGACCCATTATTCATGTATACACAATTGTTGAAAGAAGCACTTTTGGATATAGAGGATGATGATGCGAAATCGATTAAAGAACTTGCTGAGTACTGTCGTCTTGAAAGCGATGCTTTCGGAAAAACACTTGAAAAGATTGAAGAAGAATATCGTAATCATTCACCCATTTGGTGGTACACAGGTCCATATTTTATCTATTCAATGCTCAATCGTGGCCTTCGACAAATGGGTGTCGACATTATACTTAAAATGGGCTTCTTCATCCGACATTTACATAACCATATTACAGAATTACACCGGAAACAACAGGGCAGCATGCCGACAAAATTTCAAGTCTTTCGTGGACAAGGTTTTCCCGTGGAAGACTTTGAAAAAATGAAAAAAACCGAAGGAGGACTAATGTCCTTCAATAATTTCCTGTCAACAAGCCGAAGTCGTGAAATATCTTTCAAAAGATTTGCACGACCAGCTACAAAGAATCCCAATTCAGTTGGCATTCTCTTTGTTATGAACATTGACACGGCTATTTGCATAAAATCATCAACACCATTTGCTGAAGTCAGCAAAGTTGGCTACTACAAAGATAAAGAAGAAGAAATACTCTTTTCAACACATACGATTTTTCGTATCAACCGGATCGAAAGAATTCCCGACGAGCATACGGATCGCCTATGGCAGGTCAATCTCACCCTCGCTGGTAATCAAGATGATGATTTCACCAAACTCACGGCACACCTGCGAAAAGAGATCAGTGGGGAAACCGGATGGGCTCGACTGGGTGATATACTTATTACAGTGGGAGAGTCCCAAAAAGCAGAACGTCTCTGTCAGATACTCCTCGAAAAGGCATCTACTGACAAACAGCGATCGTATTATAATTTTCAACTTGGTTCCGTGTATTATAACATGAGCGAGTGCCCGAAAGCACTTTCATATTACGAAAAAGATCTGGAGATCAGTCAAAAAACTCTCCCTCCAAATCATCCCTACTTCGCACAATCCTACAACAACATCGGTAGTGTGTATGATAACATGGGCGAATACTCGAAAGCACTTTCATCGTATGAACGATCACTTGAAATCCGGAAAATAGCCCTCCCTCCAAATCATCCCGACTTGGCTGCTTCCTACAACAACATCGGTAGTGTGTATGATAACATGGGCGAATACTCGAAAGCACTTTCATCGTATGAACGATCACTTGAAATCCAGAAAATAGCTCTCCCTCCAAATCATCCCGACTTGGCTGCTTCCTACAACAACATCGGTAGTGTGTATGATAACATGGGCGAATACTCGAAAGCACTTTCATCGTATGAACGATCACTTGAAATCCGGAAAATAGCTCTCCCTCCAAATCATTCGGACTTCGCACAATCCTACAACAACATCGGTTTGGTGTATTCTAAGATGAACAAGTACTCGAAAGAACTTTCATATTACGAAAAAGCTCAAGAAATCTGGAAAAAATCACTGCCTTCAACACATCCACGTATTGCCCTGGTGAAAAGAAACATTGAGATTGCAAGAAAGAAAATGTAATTTTTTTTTATGTTGAAAAGAAAAAATAAATTGCCCTTTTTTTGAAAGCGCGCCGAAGTGAAGCAGCTGCAAAATTTCGCGCACGCGCGACCAGGGATACCCTCCATATGTCATTGGCTCGTACAGTGGACAAAGTCGGCAATGGTTAGGCAAACATACACCTATGTATGTATGACTAGTACATCCATGATCATCGTCTTTGAAAAGACGATGATAAGATGAACGCTTCTAGTCATACGTACATAGATGTATGTTACGAAGGCCTACCATTTGCACGGGTCACCAACAGAACGTCGGATATCCCTGAGAAGGTTCAATTATTTTAGAGCCACCCTCAAAAGCTCCGTTAGTTTAAAAAATTTTTTTTTTATCCTTCTGTTATGAAGAACGAGAAGAAGAAGAAACGGAAAGAAGAAAAGACATGAAAACGGAAAGACGCGATGAAAGACCACGTCGACGGAATTATACTACGCAGTGCACGATGACAACCGGTGTTTTGATGAACACTGCAAAATTGAGTGCACCATATGTTTATCATCTTTACACATTTTGTTTCTGTTTTTTATTGCGAATGTGTAAGAACAACTGATATGTCGTGCGCTCGACATCATTTCAAACAAGCGATGATTGAAGTAAACGACAGAGCGAAAAAAAAATACCAATTTTAAACACATTATTTTAAATATGTGTGTCAGAAAAAATAAAAACTAGATTTTGAAAAAATTTAAATTTTAAGACGCAGTTGAACTTGATCGCATTAGCGATTGATGGAAAGTAGTGAAATTACAAATTTTATCATTTCAATTCAAAATATATATATAAAATATCATTAGTTATCACGCAGTTTTGAGAATATTTTTCTTTTTATTAAAGATAATAATGATAAAAGGTAGATATCAATTTTTTTCTTTTTCAGTACCTTTATAGATGATTAGTTACATTTTATTTGGTTTAAATATAGAAGAATTTCAATCGTCATCAAACAATAATCAACAATCAATAAATAGAAGTAAAAATATTTTACAATTAGTATTCGACAAACAATAAATGATTTTAATTTCAATGTAAATCTTTTTTTTTAGTGTGTGTTTTGATATGATATGTTACATTTGTTTACGACATAATGATCCTAATGTTGTTTCAAGTTTATTGGAAACACTTGAAATTAAACTTAAATATTCAAATTGGATTCATAGAAGAAAATGTCGTTAGTGAAACCTTAAAAACAGGTAAATATTTTTTCTAAAACAAAAGTTTATCCAACATCATATCAACGTTGATTTATTGAAATTAATGTTTGTTTGAAGCTTCATTTTATAAAATTTTACTTCAGTGAAATAGATTTATTTTGTAATTCAAAATTATTTCTAATGTTGTAATAGTAGGAGGGCTTAAGTGAATGGGATCAATCTGGTAAAGGAGCTTGTGACAGAGTTTAGTTGATGTCACCTCAATTAGTTAAAGTCTCAAAGTTTTAGTGATAGACATGACAATTTCACTATTATATGAAACATATATACTGGAGCTCAGAGACTGCATTTATACATGAGAGATTGAAATTATACAATTACCTCAAAAAGAGTTGCAAGCCAAACTACGAGTTCTGTACATACTTAGTAGGAAAAAGATGTTCGGTTTTTCATTAGCCCTTGAAGATTTCTGATTAAATATAATTTTGNCGTCTAATGTTTAATTCAGAAAAGTGCTTAAATATATTCCCATGTAATAAAAACCGCAAGAAAATCGGCGGTTAACCACGGTTTTACCGGACCGGTTACCGGCTTCCATCAGTGAAAATTTACCGCGGTTACCGCTAAAAAAAAACGGTTAATCGGTTCGTCTATAATCTTTGACAAAAAAAAGTGTTCCAAATCATCAATTAAGCTATTTTAGACAACCTTTTTTTTTACTTTTACGTGTGGTAAACATGAGGAAAAAACCACCGGTTTACCGCGGTTTTATCGGTCCGGTTACCAGCTCCCATATTAGTGTAATTTACCGGAGGAAAGACAAATACCGCGGTTTACCGGAAAAAATGATCCGGTATTCACAACATGGGTTCTTAATCTTTAGAGAAGACATTTGCGCTAAATGTGAATGCTGGAAATATTTTTCGAGAACATTTTTTTTTTGTTGTTTACAAAGAACGTTATTCAATTTTCATATCCAACAGTTTCTAACTGATATTAAAGAACTTGTTGCTGGAATTTCAGTGCTTTGTTATAATCTTTTATATCATCATATGCAAGAGATTAGTGCAGTTCTATAAATTAATCTATTGACAGTAAAATTTGACTGAATTTTAGTGGGTCATGAAAATTTGTCTAAACTTGATCAGGCTTTGACGAGTTCTACCCAAGTAGACAAGAATTTTGGAATTTCCTAATTGTCGTTCTCGTTTCAGTGTTTTCACGTCTGTTCAGGTAACACCAAAAACAGTTACTTTCCTAATAACAGATGTACGAAGATGCTTAAAAAAAGGTTATTGTTGCATGTTGAAAGCATCCAAAACGTTTTCTCACAATATTTTTAACATACATGACGCATAAAAAAATATTTTTATGTTTTCCAGATACAACAGTTACCTTTTTCAATGTCTTCACACACCTTTTATAAAAAAAAGTAATTAATTGTGATATTTTCTAAATAAACATGGAAACGATCATAGAAGAACCACGATTTGCGTATTTTCAATGTTATGATAACAGACAACACGTGTGATTGAATCTTTAAATTCTAATTAATTAATATGCTATTGAAAATATGTAACTGTTCGGTTTGCATCAGTCATTTTTTTCGTAAGAAAAAAAACTAATTTATGTAAATTTAACAATTACAGTCTAATCGTGTGACTCTTGCTTTTATCAGCTCCTGTTTGTTCTGTCGATTTGTAATCTATTCCACGATAAGAATATGAAATGTCAATTGTATATGTATCGAAAACTAAAAATTATTTGTATTAAATAGTCATGGCCTGATGGTCTAATGGTATGATTCTCGCTTTGGGTGCGAGAGGCTCCGGTTTCGATCACCGGTCAGGCCCATTTAATTTTTGTTCAATCAAGCGAAAAAAACAACGTTCGTTCGTTCATTCTTGTCTAAACTAAGACTGAGAAAAAATAAACAAAAAAAGCTTTATTTCATCTTTAATATTGTATTTTTTTTTGTTATATTTTTATTTTTAATAAAGTTGATCTTATACAATGATGACAATTATCATCTTAACGTTTTTCTTTTTTTTTCTTTCATAAAACAATATGATTTGTTTCTTTTTTTTTTGAATTTAAGCTTTAACAGCATATGTACGTTGTGGAAAAGCCCATTGTTGTCGTTGAACTTTTACCAATTGAACTGATTTTTCCTTTGGTGTTAATAAACGTCGAATAGCTCGTGTTTTACGTTTTCGTAAATCTTTTGGCTTATATTTTTTGCCATGATATAATGCACGTAAATTATCTTTTGTTGTTTGATGCGTAACAATAAGAACACGTGCTATTGATTTTCGTACATTACGAATTTTGCCTAATTTTTGTGCACCACCACTACCAGTAACTTTACCAACACGAAGTGTATTTAATTCTTGACGTAATTCTTCTAATTGTTTTTGAAGTTCATCTACAAAATAAAAACAATTAATAATAGAATACAAAAGTTTTATTCTAATGTTTTATACCGGGCTTTTTGCCACGTAATTTTGAGCATTTAACACGAGTCATTGTCTGATCGAATATCTAGAATTATATATCCATATGAATATAAAAGACGAAATTTTATCGAAGAAATAAATAAAACTTAGATGAATGAATTGTTTTATTAATAAAAAAAAAAGAAGAGAGATGATGACTCAATCTGTTTCTTCAAGTATGTTGAATGGTTAATATTGATTCCAATTCGAATAGAAACTCTTTTAATTCCTCCTTGTTATACACCGAAGATTATTTCAGATAAATAAAAACTCTAATTTATTTTTTCTAAAAGCATAATATTCATTTGTAATAATTTCTATAAGCAACAAAAACATTGAATAGATGTCGCACATATCTAGACATACTGTTTTTTTTTTTCAATTAAAAAGTTTATTATATTATAAGCAGCTAAAATAATAAAATATATACATATATTTATTCCCCTTTGCTCAATATCAAAGAAATGCACAAATTAAAAATAACAAAAAAAAAGCGCTAGTATATGAGAGTGCAAAAAAATGCGAAGACGAAAAGTGATCATTCAAAAAGAACATTGAAATATTACGAAAATGCATTCTTGACTGTTTCTTTAGCCGTTTGTTTAACAACTTTTCGAGCAATCTAAAAATAAAATAGAATGTTTAAGAAAGAAAACATTTATCTATCTTTCAAATTCTTACTGCTTTTGGACCAATTCCTCCAACATAATATGCTGTTAAAGCAGTATTTCCAACTGCATATGCTGCATTTTCTGTAAAAATCGAAGCATCTTCTCCATATCTAAATAAATTGATTGAGAATTTAATAAAAGAAAAAAATGAATATTTAAATTTCTTACTTATGTTTAACAACACTAATACTTTCATTTGCTAAATTATTTGCTAAATGTTTTGCAGCATTTTCACAACTTTCATAAATAACACTAAAACCTTTAAAAATAAAATAAAATAAAAAAGCCATAACAACAATAGAATTTATGCTAAAAACTTACTTGTTAATCCAGCATGTCCAATACCACGCATTCCACTTAATTTAACTATTTCAACAGTACCATCAGGTTTTGTTATTTTTTCGATTTTACCAAGATTTGGTGCAAAAGTTCGAGCTAATGCAAGTGTCATACTACCAATTTTTGATACTAAAAATATATTAAAATAAAATATAGAAAAATATTTCAAAATACGTACCAACATAACTGCTTGCTTTAACAGCAACACCTGATGTTGTACGTAAACCACGAGCTGTTACATGTAAACCTTTATTAATTTTTGTTGGTTCAGGATTGGGTACTAGTTTGTCATGAACATTTTTTGAAACTTGTCCAATTAAATTTTCAGCCATAACAACACCAGTTGCTAATTGTTTTGTTAAAAATTTTGTTCCTAAATTAATTTGTTATTGTTTTTTTTTTTTTTTGTATATTAAATATTGAATCTTACCAGTAATGAGAGCTGCAGCAAGTTTTCCTGTTGATGTTGATGTATCATAAGGTAATTCTTCTTCAGCAGCAACTTCATCTTCTCCGATTATTTCAGATTTTTTACTAGTTGCTTCTTTTGTTTGACGTGCAGCACTAGAGACTAGTTCTGGTTTTGTTGTTGCTGATGGACCAGTTAATTTAATAGCACCACTTGCAGCTGTTGTTGGAGCAGCTGTTAATGTTGCACCATACTAAATAATAATCGAAAATATTCAAATAGAAAAACTCAAAACACAAGTAGCATTCACTTAATAGCACGAAAATTTTGATGCAAAATATTTATTCATTTTTCGCTATGTCTAGATTTTTCTTCTGGAGTTTAGACTTAATAGTTATTAGTAAATTTTATGAAAAAGTCCAAAATTGTGCCTGTATAAAACAAAATAGTCGTTTAGGTACAATCCCTAGTTTTGAGTCTTGGAACAGCATCAAACCAATATGATTGTGGAGCACTGATTACTATACAAAATGAAATATTACAATAAGCGAAATTCTATCTATGCGTGTCTACTAAAGAATAGATAAAACAGAAAAGTAAATAGCATGCTATGTAGCGCAAACTGAAAAAATATATTCTCCAACTGTTTAATCAATTTTGACTCGAGACTATGTGCATTATGTAGATCCTATTGAGCGATGAATACTCTGAAAAGACTTCAGACCATTAGGTTATTATTGCTGAGATATTGAATTTTTACGGTACTTTTTTCAACTCAATGCCGTGCCTCCCTCGCCCTCCTCAGTTTCAGAATAAATTATTATCATTAAGGTTTCTCTCTGTACAAACTTTCAAATCGAAATTTGAAAATGAATTTTCCTGAAGGGATCATGGCATTTACTCAATTAGGATCTACAAGATTGCACATAGTCCAAACACCAAAGCAAGTATAACTAGTTGAGAAAATCATTAAAAAATATTTCCTATTTTTGAGCAAAAAATGTCTAATTCTAACCCGTTGTGGCTAAGTAGTTGAAAAATAAAATGAAGATATTTAGTATCAAGACTTTTTGCATCATAGTTAACTTACTGTAGGTGTGCCTCCTTGAGCCATGAAAACGGAAAGTTTAGAAATAATATCTTCGAAGAAATAACGAACATCAGGTTGAACGGATTCATCAAACATAAGACCAACAAATTCACCTTTAGAAAAAAAAAATAATAATTCATTAAAATCAATAAAAATCAAAATATTTTCTTACCAACTGATGTATTATTTGGAAAAATATATGCATCATATCCCGTTTTAAATGCTGGTGAAACATTTGGATGTAATGGATAAATCCAACTACCTAATTTTAATAATCCAGATGCTTCATCTCCTTGACTAGAAAATAAATAAATTATTATGAAAAAATATGAATTAAATACTTTTAACACATCACAAAAATACAAAATTAAAGCACAAGTAGTATTTTTTTTTTCCGTTTTGTATATATGTTTAGAAGATCGGGTGTGACGAACTGATCAAGAATATATTTATTTTCAATTTTCTTCATTTCCTTTAAATTTTTGAAATTATTTGTTGGTAGACTCAACATGAAAAACTAACTCAAGAAAAGCCATTTATCAATAACTTTCTTTCAATCAGTTTTTCATGCTAAATCTGCAACAAACAAATCTGAAATTTAAAGAAAATGAAAAAAAAAAAAAAACTCAGAAGACTCACATTCTATTTACCCATATAGAAAAAAAAATCATTTCTATTTCAATTTTGCATATTCTAAAAATGCATACTTCATTTGAAAAATTGTTAATGGTAATGAATCTGATGTTGTTTGAATTGATCCATCTCTAGCCATATAAAAAAGTCGAGCACCTTCATCAAGTTGAAATAAAACTGTAGCATTGCCTTCTTGTGTATCATTACCAGTTATTGGTTGAAATGCTGATGGATCTTCAAAAACTTGTTCAGCCATTTCTGTTAAATCTTGTTCATTAGCTTTTTCTGGTACATGATTAGATAATTGTCGAACCATATTTTGATAAATTCCATTGGAATCTGTTGATCGATTTTGTTGTATTGATGATTGAAGTAATCGTTGATTTGTATTACGTTTAATTGTTTGTAATTCATCATCAATAGCTGATGTACCTTCATGTGCATCAATTAATGAAACAACACGTTTATAAAGTACAGATGCTTCATCATATTGTTTATTTTTTTCAAGATTTCCTGCACGTTGTAAATATTCATTTGCTTCACGTTTAAGACTTGCCGATGTAGCTTCAGGACGTGGACGAAATTTTTCCATTAATGCGCTCATCATTTTTTTGAGTTTTTTTCTTCTAGAATCAAATTATATATATATATATATATATATAAGTGATGAATGAATAATCGAGAAAATGCGTCTGATGTCAATAAGTATAATAGTATTCGAAAGAAAGGAATGGATCAAAAATGTATGTGCATGTTTAATAAAGAAGAGAGCTCGTGAGTATAAATGACTCATGTGTGACGCATGCATGAGTCATTTATTCGATTGTTGTCATGAATAAGATGTCGCTATGGAATATCAAGGCTTCATTATTAAAAAATGACTCAATGAATCAAATTGAATCATATAATAATCCTTTGAATGAGCATTAACAATATAGATAGTTTTTCTTTTAGTATGTTTTAAAGTAATTAATCATTGTATATAAGATAATGAGTAATGTCTTCTTAATCCGTCGATATTGGAAATGAAAATTTTAATGGTATACGTTTAGTTTTCATTATGAAAATCGGTTAAAAGTAGTTCAAACAAACGAGCTTGACATTTTGCGATGAAAAAACTTTAGTCGGAATTTAAATTCTAATCACTGGTGAAGTCTTTTTTCCTGACAATAATAAATTCATTGAGTATAATACGAGATTCTTATCGTACGATGAAAATCCGTGAGCTCAATATTTAGAGCTAAGATTTCGATAACATCTAGAAATTTGTCAGTTGAACACTTTTAAGCCTATATTTTTGGATCTTAAAAGCCATAGAAATCGAGAACAGCCAGCAAATTAGATTAGCTTCATTGCTCTAAAAACTGATAAAAAAATCGACGGATTCGGTTCCAATTTTGCTACACACAAAAATACATTGAAGATATCTACTGATTTCGGTTATAAATCGATCATAATTTCAAATTCTGAAAGCATGTTACAACAAAACAAATAATTTAACTTTTTACCCTCCACTAAAATGACTATTTGTAGATCGATTAGAAAAAGTTAAACGATGCATAGAATTTTACAGTATCAAAAATATATTTTATAATAAACTTTATCAGCTATTGATCTGTTCTCGAAATATCAGACTTACAAAATCGATAATTTAAAAAAAAAACCGAAAAAATTTTGAAACTTTTCAAACAAAATATTCTCACTTATCAGTTAGTCGAGATCATTTGGATTTATTATGTGATATAGATGGATAAAGAGACCTATGAGAACTTGAAATAATATTTAATATGGATAGAATTTCTTCAATGGTTACATGATACGTCAAAGAAACTTAAGTGATTGTTTGGCAATATACGTCACAAACACATTTATCATTTCAAAATTAGTTTTTATGTATTCACCCTTTCTTTGTTTTTTTTGTTATTTCAATATTATTGGATATAACTTGCTTTTGCCTCCCACTCAATACTGACATAAATCAAAATCATTCTACACCATAAGTATAGCACGCGGATGGGCAATGTACTAGAGAAGCATACATTATATCAAAATGATGCTTGAAACAATTATAGTTTATTTTTTCCAAGAATGAAATGAATAGCTCATTTATTTTTTTTTTGTTCTATACATATATGGATTCAGATAAATATATAGACATCACATCATAGTATAACAACAGGTGAACTCGTTTTTTTTTTTTTTTGTTATTCTCTTTCACCATATCACAGAAATCGGTAGAGTAGGTTAAGAATGATACAAAAATTAGAGTTTTATTCCATTTGTTAAGATTTTTTTTGACGAGCAATTTCGAAGGCAATCATAAAATATGTTTGGTTTCGAAGAAGTCGATCGTTATGTTAATACAATTGGGAGTGTTTCGGAAAAGGGAAAACAGAATTGAACGACGACATTATTAATGACATTTTATTTTTACGAAATTTTTTAAATATGTGATAGTTTTGTTTTTGATTATCGTTGTAAACCTTAGAGTAGGGTAAGTATACGAAAAATCTTTATCCTAAGGACTCTGTTCCTTATGAATTTTATCTGAAATACTTGTCATCGTTAGTTACATCAGGTTCTATTCTCAAAACAACTTTGTAATGTGTTCATATCACGAATTTTTAACCTAAAAAAATGTATATTTCCTTACTTTTTTAAAATGCAATAAGATTTTCATGTAGTTCGATTACTTGAAACTTCATAATACAAAAATAACGAAATTTCGCTGTATGATTCTTACAATGCCTCGGTCTTAATTCTTCGAGCAAAACTTTAGGAAACTCAGTCTTACGTGTTCGTACACGAAAAAAAAAAGATGTATACTTACCAAGTTCTGATTCGTGGCTCTGCTGAAACCGCTGTATAGAGAAGAATAGGTTAATTTTGTATATTTCGTATAATCTAGAAGACAAAAAAATAGTCAGCAGTTGAAAAAAATCTATTTGTTTGCTTTGATAATAATTAACACTAGACGTTTGTTTTGTTATTAAATTTCACATATTGTGTACTTTTCTCAATATGCAATTTTTTTTCTTACTTGATTTTCTAATCGTTAAAATTTATTTCTATTTTTTTAACGATTTTTCTTTTCTTTAGTCTTCATAATATTTATCTAAACATTTTTCATAGAACACTACAGTACAACATAAGTTCTAGCAGCATTTTCAAGCAAGAGTACCTTTACTAAAGTAATCATGGCTTTATAGCAGAACCAAAGTCAACTGTTTGAGTAATGATAATGTCATCTACTAAAGCTATTTGGGACCATAAACCTGAATAAATAATTTTGATAGAGTAGACCAGAAATTCGTTGTTCTTTTGTATATAATTATTATATTCACCGATCTCATTAATGTTTACTAGCAGACAGTAACAAGTATATGTGAAAGGCAAGGACCAATAATGGAAGAAAAATGAATATAATATTTCCACCATACAAAATGAAACAAACAGAATGCACAAAAACCAATCAGATTTAACGACAGAATAGCAAATGTAATAAGTTACATAAGCACACAAACAAACTGTCCTAAAGGGATAAAATAATGATAGAAAGACGAAGTGTGGATGTAGGTGGGTTTCCAGGCGGGGACGAATATCAACATAAGATCTACTCCTACGCCCTTATCTCAATATCCTGAACTCTGGATATGTGTGAATATGGAATTGAATATTCATCTCGTTACACCAAATTCACTCAAAATCGTTGATTAAGTGGCATATGGATACCGCAAATTAGAGAGCAGCGGGTCTGTCCAGACCCGGTCGAGTCCGGGTCTGGGTCTAGAAATTTGATATCACCCGGGTCCGGGTCCATATGTGATTTACTTTCAGACCCGGTTTGTATTCAGCTAAAAATATAAATATTCAAGGGCTCAGGTCAACGTATAATATTTTCTATATTCTGTTTCCAAATTTCTTGGCTATTTTTCATATTGTATTTAACAAGTCATTTGACATACAAATAACAAATGAAGTTGAAAAAAAATAGACGAATGTGAATAACATGTTTTGATTACACCTAAATATATAGTACTTATTTCATCATAAACAAAATTAATATTTCGTTTTTATTCTTGTTCATCGTCTTCAATAGATATATCACTATTTTTATGAATAATATCTTCATCACTAAACAGATCGTCGCCAAAAGTTCGAATCTTTTTGGTTGTCGATGATGATGTTGATGACAACTGTTCTTGCAAACAATAGTCAGCTAAAACCATGAGCCTTCACTTGTTCATATATACAGAGGGTGCTAGATATTGGCGAAACACTTAACGGGTCTGGGTCTGGACCCGAACGGGTCCGAGCCCGAATATATCAAGCCCGGGTCCGGGTCCGGGTCTAGAAAAACCTGGACCCGCTGGTCTCTACCGCGAATTCATTGAATTAATATCCAAATAGCTATGTTTCGAATTTCGATAGCCGAGCTATGAATATTATGACATTCCTCTTGAGATATTCTTATTCAACGTACAAGAAGTACATTCATATTCTATAAAAGATAATGAACATCAACGAAAATTAATTAAAAACATAAATGTAATTAATAGAAGACGAGCTTCTGATATCAAAATGCTGCAGCCATTAACCAATAAGAAATTTGATCATATTACTAAAGCTGAAGTATTTGTAAACAACTATTAATATTAAGTTAGCTATTTTGAAAATTCAATCATTTGATAACGGTGAAAAATTGAACCGATTACGAAAAATAACTAGAAAAAATGAATCATTGAAATAAATATTCGATGAATAAAAACAATATGAATAGCGTTTGTTTTACAAAGAAAAAAGAAGTATAATTAGAAATCAGATAAAATCATTTTTCTTCGTTCACATATGATCTATGAGAAACGAAAATTTCAACAACAAAAAAAAAATGAAATAATTAAAAATTACATTTTCATTCGCTGAATAAGATTGTCATATTTAAATGCAATTGATTATATCTTAACGTCGTAAGAGCAATATCAATCAAAATTTTCTCCAACTCAAATGTATGACTCATCAAACTTTTTTTTTCTTTCTGTCAAAATAAAACACCTATGTTATTGTATAAAAACAAGCGATCGTCGGAGATATCTTTTTTCAACCAATATATTTTTTCAAATATTCAATTGAAAATGACGCGCGCTCTTCGAATAGTATCATCTGTTTCAATCACTAATACACAACCTACGGTCATATGTCTTCCTGGCATAGATCATCAAATATTTTCTGATATTAACGAGCTTAAAAATCATATGATAATTGATAAGAATTCATATTCTTTCATTGTATTACTTATGAATATAAATGATCAAAATTTGCGAGTACAATTAGAAGATTTAAAAAGACAACATCATGTATTGGCTATTTTTATATGCGTAAAACCAAGGTCTACTTTACGATTTGATGGTAATAATGTATTTCCTGTTGTCAAAGAACTTATGGCATATAAAATTAAGTCAAGTGTTGTTCAATTTTTTGAGGATACATCGAAAAAATTATTAGCTTTGAATCAGATTGCTTCTGCATATCTTTTTAGAGAGAAAGCTAGGTTTTTTAAACAACAATGTATTACAAATGGAAAGGTATTGTTTTACTATTTGATTAAATTAATAATATCAATGAAAAACAAAAACAATTGTTTTTAGATTGAAGCTTGTCATGTATTAATTATTCCATTGAATACAACTGATGAAAATTTATTTGACTTTCAAGAACGTCTTATATGTTTATGTAATAAATAATTGTTAATTTCATTTGAATAATAATTATTTTGTTTCCTTTTAATTTTAGGTAATGATTTATGTGGTGATTATGAACCAACAGTTTGTACGATTTATGATTATTTACCATCAAATGAAAGCATCGATTTTTATGAAAATCCCGATGCAGATATTATTTATAATTATGTAAAAAAACTTTCACCGATTCGATTGTATCTAATTGGAAATGAAACTTTTATTCCAAATTCAATAAGTAAATATTTCTTCGAAAATGAAATAAATGATATTGATCAAAATGAATATGATACAAAATATTCACTTGTTGAAAATCAACCAATTGATATCCATATTAAATTAAATTTAGCAAATGTACTTGATAGTACACGACAATTGGCAAATGTGATAATAAAACAATTAGATCATATTGAAAATGATATTAAATTTCCTGCTGCACTTGAACGTGCTAATGTTACTATACAAGGGCGTGAAATGGTTGCTGATATCGAACTGCAACAACGAGCTATAGCTTGTCCAGAAAGTTCTTTCGGATTTAGCACTTCAGTATGTAAAAAAAAACCAACAAATCTCGTTTTGATTTTCTAATATTTTCTTTTTTGTATTCATAGTTTCACATGATTCGACAAGCTGATTATGGTGCTACGAATCATAATGATGATGGTAGTGATAGTGATATTAATAATATCATTCAATATGAATCTACACAATCTTTATCGTAATTTCTAAGAAAATAAATTAGCGACTATGTATAAGAATATGTAAAATGATACTATTGTTATTCCAAAGCAGTATTTTGATAAATATTTCATGCTGATAGTTTTTTTTTTGTACAATTTTAATTGTTTTTAAAACAACGTCTATAACTCAGGCCTAGACGAAAAACAAATTGAGTTTTACACAATGCTCATTTTCATGCATTTATATTGAATACCTGTAAAAACTGCAGACATTCATGAACATCCGCAAAACTGTAAGATAAGATAGAGTCTAAAATGAATATCATCCGGATATCTATTCTAGGCTACACTTTTTCTCTTCAACTAGGATATAGCCTTTTATATGGATACGGACATCCATAGTTACTTTTGATTTTTAATTATTTAAGATATTTTATGAATCAATATCAAAATAATTAATGCTATCTTTTAAAATGAAAACCAAGATAACCATGGATGTCTGTGTAGTCCGCAGTTTTTACAGATGCCTATTTATATTTATATTCAATGCCAATTTTCCTATTTAATAAATTTTTTTCGATCTTCATACTATCTATATTTCATATATTTTCTTTTGTAGTGTTCAATGGTAATAAGGGTGATGTTTAATTTATCGATGAATAAACAATCTATAGAAAAAATATTTCTCTTACACTATTTGCCACAAAAATTGACTTGCAAACTTGAATTATATCGACATAAACTCCATAATTTGATCCTTGATTATTTGTGCACCATTGCTTGACCATGATATTTAGAAACTTTAAAATTTCTGTGATCATTGTTATTGGTAAATGCTGTTTATCTTAGAAGTTTAAGTCTTTTTTCAAGATGACTCGTGAGAAGACATGCAGAATCTGCCAGTAAAATAGAAAATTTACTTCGCTATAAAACTCAATTAAAAAAAAAGAATTTTCTTATTTTAAATTTTTATTCAAAAAAAAACAACAACTACCACTATTTAACACATTGCAAATATGCTTTAAGAAAATAGCTACTATTCAATATCGTTTGGTTCGGGTTTTCTTGTTACTTGTGATTTTTGTCAATGATTTAAACTGATCGAACGAGAAAAACAGGCTTTAACCTATCGTGTATTCCTGATTTAGTGGAATCAGAGGTACTCGAACAGAACTGAGCCGAACCCGAAATTAATTTTTCAATAATAAATCCAAACTGAACTGAACTTAAACCGACAAAAAATGGTTTGATTCGATCACTGATAATCATACATTAGTCATCTTAGTGGTATTGTACGCATATGTACGTACAACAGCAACTGTATGTAGCAAAAGAGGAAAAAACAGCAAGTAGTGGTATTTCATTAGAAAACGTATATAGAACGAAAAGAGGAGAAATCAAATAGTGCGTATTGTTTCATGAATAGACACAAAGAAACAGGGTGAAAGAAATGACAAGATGCATGATGAACGTAAATAAAGGTAGACAATACTGACACTAAGATAAGCACACAGATGAGTCTTTCAGAAATTTAATGAAAAGAAAAGTAGAAGATCTTATCGGTGTATATAGGATGGGTCAAAAGTAAGGAAACACAAAGTTCTTTTAATTTTGTCTCTATACATGAATAATAAAATCTCTTATTTATAGTACATATACTAGGTAATGGTAGTCAGAAGCATAGCATATCATTTGTCTCTAGGCTCGATAGTTTATTTTAAAAATACACTGGTTTATCTCGTATACTCCTATATGATTGAAACAAGAATTGCTATATCCTTGTAGAATTTAATAACCACTTTTCCTCTAACTGTACCGATTTTACAGGCTAAAGTATTATCTGCTTTGATTTATCTTAAAGAAATTGAAAAACAAAATATATTATTCGATTTATTCTTCAAATTGATCAAGTCAAACAAAAAACAGTGAAAATGAAATTCGACTAGAAATGATCAGTTTTGCTACAGTTACAAAAGTATATACAAAATATATCGATTCGATTTTGAAACAAACTATTGAGTCCAGAGACTGATAATACGCTACACTTGTGACTATCACTAGCTGGTAAATGTGGTATAAATAAAAAAATTATTATTCATGTGTAGAGATGAAATCGAAAAAATTTTGTGTTACCTGACTTTCGGCGTACTCGATATATAAATAAACCGAAATTTGTTTTGAAAATTGAAAAATTTTCACTATGAGAGAAATTATTTGTTAACAAATTTTCTCAAATGCAACTGCATTGTCTTCTCTTCGAAACTTTTCTTTAGCAATTTTTTTGTCCAAACTTGAACTTACTAACACTATTCATTTTGTATCAATGGATATAGAATTTCAAGATCTTAGTGTGAGTGAATGGTAGCGTTTTGTATGTAACCTTATTCACACATCCACTTCACGCGAATTCGATGTTCTGTAAATCGCTTTCGTTTAGCATATTGTACATTATCAACATACATGTTAAATTTTCTTCGATCTAACAAATCATTATATCATCATCATAATTCTTTAGTTTATAGATATATTAACGCATTTTAATAAATTTTACTTTCAATATACCATCTCGATCGATTTGCTTATTGATATAGAGACATTCAATATAGTTTTAATCAAAAGCTGACATTGGTTAGGATTTACATCTGATATTCACCGTGGCAAAAAAAGACTTATGGTACATATTAGATAATATGTCAACGATGATTAATTTTGTGTGTTGTTTAAAAAAAAATATTTATTCATCTATCATCATTGACACTTACGAAGATTCTATGTACTGAGTTATATCAGTATTTTATTTGAATACAATGAGAGCTATCGAAATTGATCATTTGGGTAAATATCAGACGGAACATATTCCTAAATATGTTTCGCATATTTTTATCATTCTCATAACATTTTCAGTTCAAAATTAATTATTAACAATTACAGAAATATAAATTTATTATAGTTTTATTCTCTTAACAGAAAAAATGAAGAGTACAGCATGCATGTGATAATATTCGATGATAAAATACATAGCAAACGAGCAAAAAGATGGAATTAACAACAAACAACATTCCCGAATAAACACACAAAACAAACAAAAGCAGCAAAATTTTTGTAAATCAGTGATCATTTCGTTAAACAACTAGAAAAATAAGAAGTATGATAAAGATAAAATAAATGCATTATGTTGTTCTGAGTATGAGTGTGGGTCTTGGTTGTACAAAGACCACATCCATACTCACACCCACCTTGAACACAACTCCGTATTGATGACGTTTTGGGATGATATCAAAAGATCGATTTTCTCAGCAATCAGACAATATTTTTTAAGAAGCAAGTATTGTTTTTCTTCTTGCTATATAACAAGTAAAATCAATCAAAGATTCGGATAAATATTCACACTTCCAAGACTTGTTAAGTTTTTCTGTATTACAAATTTGACAGGCTCTTCCGATTTTTTCCAACATAATTTTCACTTTGACAAACATCGTCTGATTATGTCTACAGTGCGATTGTTATTAGTTACTCAACAAGCAGTATCGAATCATGAAACAAAAAAACGCAAATCAATCGTAAAACATTTCTTTTTTTTGTCCTCTCCTTGCTTTTCTTATATCAAATAATCTACAGGTAAAATGCCATCAAATTTGTTTTTTCGATATAAAAATTATTTTCTAATATTTTAAATATTCTTCTTCTTATAAATTTATTATTTTATTAAAATTAGAAATCAAATAGATTCCTTTTGCTAGATTTATATAACATCTATGAGAGAAAAATCTCAAAAAAATGAAATAATTATTATTTAATATTTTCAATTGCTTAAAAAACTCTTATATTTCAATTGCGCAAAAGCAACATCAATAAACATTTTTTTTGTCCCATTTGAATGAGTGACTCATGAATTTTCTCTTACTTCCTAGGATACAAATTTATATTATTGAGTAAAAACAAACGAATGGAAGCATAAATATCTTTCAACTATTTTATAGAAATATTCATTTAAAATGACGTCCGATCTTCAAATAGCAGAGTGATGTTTACGCACTAATACTCAACCTACAGCAATATGTCTTCCTGGTATAAGTCATTAAACTTTTTTTGATATTGACGAGCTTAAAAATCATGTGATTACTAATAAGAATTCATTCTGTTTTATTGTATTACTTACGAATTTAAATGATCAAAATTCACATGCACATTTAGAAGATCTAAAAAGACAACATCATGTATTGGCTATTTTTATGCGAGCAAACCCAAGGTCTAATTTAAGGTTTGATGGTGGTAATGTATTTTCTGTTGTCAAAGAAATTATGGCATATAAAATTAAGTCAACTGTTGTTAAATTCTTTGAAGATACATCAAGAAAATTATTAGCTTTGAATCAGATTGCTCCTGCACGTATTTTTCAAGATAAAGCTAATTTTTTTAAACGACAATGTATTACAAATGGAAAGGTATTGTTTTACTATTNGTTCGATTTTATTTGTTATTCTTTAGATATATTTTTGAAAGCTATATACTAAATAAACAATTTATTTACTTAGTTCATCTATGAATTTATATACATATACGTGTATTTATGATTTTTCTTTAACTCATATTTTTCTATTATCAAGTGCGAGGATATGTATATGTTTTATGATGCAATATATAAGAGTGAAATAACTGATTTTTTCTTAGTAAAACGAGTAGCATGTGATACTTTACAGGGAACGAGAAAGGATAGACTAATGTACACATTCACTATTTTCTCTCTCGTGCATGTCTTCCAAATCTATGCCATCAGTCATTTTTTTTTTATGTTCTCCCATTCTAAATGAAAAACAATACATAGGAATTATTTTACCTATTATTTTTACTTGTTTGTGATTTATGTCTAATAACTTCCTTTTGTTGTTTCTTTTTTTTTGTAAATCACAGCTTAAAGCTGATACAAATAATCATTGACATTTTTAGACAATGCCGTCAAAAAAATTAATTGTGGCTAATAATAAAAAGCCATTTAGTGAATATTCGTCACCGTCGACATTAGAAATTGTTCTTGATGATCAATTTGACAGTGATTCCTTTGATGAAGACTCAAATAGTCAAATCAGGTATAAAATTAATTGAATAATAAAAATTTAACTTAATTTATTTATCATAGACATCGAAAATCTGCTGCAATAGATGATGAACACGTGACACGTCGACAATCCAAAGACAGTACAGTGAAGGTTACTTATTAAATAACGCAAAAAAAAAAAGTTATTTATATACATATATGTATTGTTTTCTTATTTCATTCAGAATTCAAAATCTCATCGATTAATTGAAAAACGACGTCGTGATCGAATGAATCTTAGCCTTGATGTTTTATTAAATTTAATACCTCATAAAAAACCTGAAGTACAAGTTCATTCGTTTTTTATTATTATTTTAATTGATATTTCGTCTTTTTAGAATCAGCGTCGTATTGAAAAAACTGAAATTGTTGAAATGGCAACTAAATATATTCGTTGTTTAATATCATCTAATAAAAAATCATGTATATTAAAAAAAAAAGGATTTTTCTTTCTTTTTGAAATTCTATTAATCATATTTTCTTCCTAGTTGAACCATTTAGTTTTGATAAAAAATCAAATTCAAAACTTGATGCATATCGTTCAGGATATTACAATGGACTTTGTGATATATATGAATATATAGAACAATATACAAATGATAAACAACTTCTTAATAATACATTTCAATATATCAACGAAAAAGAAATTGAATTAAAAGATTTAATCGGTTAGAACTAGAATTAAAAAAAAAAAAAAAACCATGAATCTCACAAAATTTAACTCAAATATTTTTTCATATTTTTTAGTTATACGTAATAAAAAAGACAATTTAAAACAACAAATATCATCATCAATAAATTGTGATAAAATGAATTCAAATGATAATCTTTTTTCTATATCTGACATTAGTAAATCACAAGAAGATGATCATATTTGTCAAACTTCGATAGATAAACAAAATAATTCAATACAACAATCAAAAGTACCAATATTTGTTTTACATCCATCTGGTACACATTATATTCCAATGTGTATTGATTCATCAATTGTTTTAAATGCATTTAATAATATATCTAATCTATCTCAAACGTCATCAATAAATGAACAACTTCAGTGTCATCCGGTGTCAATTCCTGTTAATTTTAATCCAATGTCAGCTTTATCAGATCAATATGAACTTGATATTCAAAATATAAATGTTATCGGTAGTAGGCATCAAACAAGTGTAAAACCTAGTTGACTACATAATTTTTTTTTTCTTCATTTTTTTTTTGTAAGTTTTGCATTTTATTATGTATTTTTTTTTGTTCTTTCAACTATATGAATATAATATGAGACGGGGAAGTGGTAAAAAAATTTTTCTTCGAAAAGAACACAGACAAAGCACATTGAAGGTCTATAAAAACGAAGAAGAAAAAGTCACAACGTCCTGAAATACAACAAAAAAAAAACAGAGTACTGTCTATTGTTTGCAATTAGTTTTTTTTAACATTATGAATGCTAGCCATTAAATTCATTTCATAACAAACAGATTCGACAATAATTTTTATTTCAAATTCAAAAAATAAGAAAAGAACGACATTAAAATTCAAATAACTTATTTCATTTACATAAAATTTAAAATTAGATCGTACATGCAAAAGTTACGAAGACCAAACATAAGGAAGCCAATTAAATCAAGACGTATAGGTAAGATTAAAAGGAGTCTAAAAGAATTTTTTCTGATCGATCTTTTGACATGAGATTTTGCCGATAAATACATTGAATGACTAGTAGAATATCTTAAAAGTTCCAGACCAAAAATAATGTTCCTTTGTCAACATCATGAGGACAAACATTTTTAGATTTTGGCTAATCTAACCAAGATCTCCTCGTAGGTCTAATAATAATCTCAAACGATGAGTACCTATTTGAGTTGTTCTTTCGTACAGACTTCATGTATATAATATAAGTGTAACTTGAGAAAAATCAGAACGTTTTTTTTTATATGTATTAAATAACAAAATCATGCAGTAATAGAGAAAATTTTATTTTTATTTTTCTTGTTTATATTTTCAATTTAAATTTTGAAGAGATAGTAGAATTTTCGATCATCGACTGCTTTTGACAAGCTAGTGAATGCGGTCATCATCAGTACAATTATACAAGTGTAATAATCCATAAACTAATCTATACATCAAATTCATAATCTAAATCCATAATTTAATCCGTAAAACAAGGGTGTGGGTGTGGGTGTGTGGGGTATGGGAGTGGATATGATTGTGCGTGTGGGTGCGCGGTATGCGTGTGGGTGTAGATGGTGTGCGTGTGGATAAGGGTGTGTGTATTCACTTGACTCACACTTACCTACATCTACACCCACACCTATACACCCACATCCCACACCCATACCCACACCCGCACACCCTCGCTGAGTTCCGATCGGGTTTACGTCGTCGGAAAAGATACGACCCACCTGATAAAACCTGCCGTATTGGACATTGTCGAATTTTGTCCTCTCAAATAGTATTCGAAACAAAATTGTACGGTAAACTGCTTTCAATTCCTAGTATCAGAACCTGCAGAATTATATCAAAATCGATTAGTTCCACTCACGAGAGAACCTTTCTAGGTGCCCCCTTCCGATTTCAATGAATGAACGATCAAGATCCATACATATGTTTGATTTAAATGTGAAAGAATAAATCCTTGAATAGTTGGTGAATAGGTTTTCGATGTACAATCTCTAATAACAATAATGTTTTTTATCGCAACAATATAATTGATTTAAATAATATAATAAAATAAGATTTTAAATAAAATACATGAATAAATATTAAAATCGAAAATAAATAGACAATGTTTTTTTCTCAATAGATATTTCCACTTGTTTGATAATCGAATTGAATATTTCGAACATGACAATGCTCATCGTCAGCAATAGGTTGTAGTACCACGATTGTTGCTTATATAATAATAATGATAATTCTTATCATGGATTTTTTTATTCTCTAATAACAATAATTGGAAATATCCATTGAGAAAAAAAAACATTGTCTATCTATTTTCGATTTTAATATTTATTCATGTATTTTATTTAAAATCTTATTTTATTATATTATTTAAATCAATTATATTGTTGCGATAAAAAACATCATTGTTATTAGAAAATAAAAAAATCCATGATAAGAATTACCATTAATATACAATCTGTTAGATATTGTTTGAGATCTGCTCAAATAAACGTTTATTTCATTGATGTTATAATAAAATATTTCTTTATCATAATTGATCAGACGACTCATGGATGAGGCGATTGCACATGCAACACAAATAATCAATCAACTATTGCAATCAAATCTGAACTGACCGAAACTCTTGATCTTCTTCAACAATTTACTTCAACCTGATTCATCTAAAAATAATTGAATTCGATGATTCGGTCGACGATTGTTAAATCCAAATTGTTGACTTTCCGATGATTTCTGGATAGAATTGCATGATGATATTCTTTATACATTCGAAAAATTAAATGGTGAACAAAATAAAAATGATAGTTGGAGATGTTTTCTTGAAAAAATCAAATTTGAAGGTGAATTAGAACAACGTCAATTTCAATTTCAACAAACTATTTGGAAAATAAAACATGTTATGCCAGATAATCGATCAAAACTCAGAATTTCTTCAAAGATATCTTCAAAAATGTATTTCTCTTCATTCGAATAATCGAAATGTGAGGTCTAATTGACGATATAGATGATCTTTTTTATAATAGCTTTGGACAGAAAGAAATGTCAATCACCATAGACAATAAAAATCGTATATCAAAGAAAAATTAAACTATATTGAAATTTCTTTCGATTATTCAAATAGATCATTAAATAGCATTGATTCATCATTGCTTTTTAAAGAATAAATCGTCTTTAACAGACTGACTAACCAAATAATTTTTTACCTTCACTCGAACAAATAAAAATAGATCCAGATCGAGATTCTACAACCATTTCAAAAGCACTACGAGCTCGACGATAGTTCGTCATTTTGGGTGATCCAGGTAGTGCAAAAACTACTCTTCTTCGATGAATTACACGTATCATTGCTGAAGCACCTTTTCGTAAAGATGAAGAAACAGTTCATCTTACAATTCGAATCGGTGAGTTTACACAATGGATTACTCAACATTAAACAAAAACATTAATTGATTATATCGATGAACACACATGGTTTTCAGAACATATGTGTTGAAAGAATTGATATATCATGGTCATGCTTTGATTCTTCTTGATGTTGAACAATACGATAAAGTGAACGTGATCAATAGATTATGAAAATATCGAGCTAAAAAAAAAATTTTTTTTTTGTATGTAAAAGAATATTATTTAGCAGCATCTTGAAGAAATAAATCAATTTTTGATTGATCAAATTCTGTATCATCTCTTATTAATGGAAATTGAAGTTAGATAACAGATAAATTATCTCATATTTATCATTAATATGAAGTTCAATTAGTTCATCAATGAAGTAAAATAAAAAAAATAATAAACGTGTTCATAGAATTTGTCTGAATAAACTGAACTGATTTCAGCGGTGGCAGATAAAAATGAAGATAGTTCATAGGTTAAATACATATCTGCACTATTGATTAATAAAGTTAAATGGGATGAAGAAGCTATTTGAAACATTGACTTAAAAATATTTTTCATTCTAGAAAGAAGTTTGGAATAGAAATATTAAAGAGAAGGAAGGATAAACTTCAAGAAGATCACCACTAAATTGTCGAGCACATTGACTAGGTGTTAAATAAGTCGTCTGTTGTTGTAATAGTATTTCCATCGACAAGAACCATCTTATTTTGCATTATGATCTTTGTTCTGAAGAGTTCAACTTAAAACATAAAATCCTGAATTTATTTCCAATAAAACATAATATTTGTTGAATTGAGGATATAAACCACTACAATCTACTAAACTGTCTATAAGATCAACACAGCTGTTGGTGGTTTCATCTTCACATAATTTCATATTTTCCACAATTGTCAGAGTACATAAGAGTTGAATGGAAGATGAATTCCTTTGATGGTTAGTCTATGAACAGATGAGAAAAACGACGATTTTTTTTGAGTGCAGTGAAACTCAAAATGATTGGATGAATGGTTCACACACAAGCAAGTTAACTTTTCTGATGTTNTTATTTACATTTTACAGTTTTTGTATGCCTTTAGTTTTCGTCTTTTTTCAAATATATCTAAGACAGTTTTGGGGCCAACTCATATATGGTTTTGTAGAGAATTTCAAGCACTATCTTTTGATAATAAAGAGAGCTTTAATTACAGGGATAATAGAGAAGAAATCTTAAAAATACTGAGAGGCCCATTCTTTCTGGGACACCCGATATTATTTGAAAATTAATGAACGAAAAATAATAAATCATGTTTATAAACAACATATCTGAAGAAAAGAATATAATGCTTCCTATTTTATATTGAATTCATGTTATAAATCTTAATAAATTATAACAAAGTTTTTTTTTTTTCTTTCTAATTAATTTATTAAATTTTTTACATGCTTTCAAATTCAAGAAGAAAAAAACAAGATTGAAAATTTTTATGATTGATTGCAACAATTAACTTTTATATTCAATTAGGTTTTCTGCAAGAAAACTATAATCTTTCATGAACTTGAATAGATCATTTATTTGTCAGCATATAATGGAAATTCTTTTCCTATGTGTCATTTTCAACATTTGACATTAATACACATTACAAATAGCATCATGAAATATTTCATAATATTAAAATTATTCTAAGTTTCATATTTAACTTTTTTTGATCGATTTGTTTTTTATTCTTATGATATATTTCATTGAGAAAGATAATGAACTTAATCCATTGAGGCTAAATTATTTTAATTATTTAGAAACAAATGTTTTGTCTCTAGGCTTGTAATTTCATTTGCACAAGCTAAATATCTTGGATATTTATTAAAAAAAAAAAAACAAGATATGTTGTCTTGAACTGAAAAATTAAAAAGATAAGTTTGATCTCGAATATTTTTCTTAGTAAGATTAACTATCGTATATTATAGGAATAATATATATCAATTATCTAGTATATCAACAAAATTTCGATTATCTCCTACAGCTTCATTATCAGAAAATAGAATAGGATTATGAAAATTTATATGAACTTATTAAATTTATGAAAAGAGTCATAGAAACTTAATGTTTGAGAATAACTTTCAGATCCATAGCATTTCAGTTTCA